CTGTATGTGGGATCCGAACCCTCGGCGGGAGCGCTGCTGCGCTTCCCAAGCGGCGCACTAGCACAGTGCGCCACCGGGCCGGCCCATAGACTTTCTCATCTGGATACATGTTTATATATAAATTTGTATTGAAAAGCCATCAAGAATGATTCCATTAATATGAAAAGTCCAGGATAGACAAATCCATAGGAACAGAAAATAGATTAGTAGTTGCCAGGGGATGAGGGGAGGAGGGAATGGGGAATTTCTGCAAATTATGGAGTTTCTTTTGGTGGTGATGAAAATGTTCTGTAATTAGTAGTGATGGTGGTAGATCCTTATCCATATACTAAAAAAAAAAAACCCACTAAATTGTATACTTTAACATGGGAATTTTATGGCATATGAATTATATCTCAATAAAAAAGTCATCTAACCACTTTGCAATTTTTATTCTTAGCAAGATATAAGAAGAAATATTAATTAGCCAAATAAACTACATTCGTGGTCAGTGGGCACAGACTGGTGGGGAAGCTACCAAATACCCGCATAAGCCTATGATCCTACCACGTGACTCATTAAAGCCCCAAATGTTGTAGGGATTCAGAGGCAAGAGCCATCAGCCTGAGTGGGAGCACTCAGTGTCAAGGACAAATGTCAAGGCTGAGTGTTAAGGACAGCCTCACAAATCTTTTCCCCTGACTCACTTCCCCTGGAGGTGGAGCAGTCAGATAGACCCATAAAGATGTACTCTTATATCATCGATGCTCCTTAGTACTTAGAACTCCCTGTGACTCTTACAGTTAATCATGCACTCACTTTATCTTTGCTCCATACAGAAAGTGAGCTGCCCAATGGCTGGGACTGGAGTTTATCCATCTTATTATCATAGTGTCTCATGTTTTGCCTTATAAATAGCAAGTGCTTAATAGTTGTTGACTTGAATTTCATCGGTAAGGCATTTCAGAAAGCAATGTTATATTATCTCAGGCATATGTAGGTATATGAATAGCACAGCTTCCTTAATAACATGCCTAATTTATTTGATTGTGAAGAGAATGGCAACTGTGTGTGGAGCTCATGCCTCCACAGACGGTACATTGTGTATGTACAATACAGCGGAAATAGCTTGTTTTGATCCCTCTCTGCCATTTACCATCCTTTTTTTGTTGTTCAAGTTCTTTACCCCTTTCTAAGCTTTAGTTTTCTGTCTATAAAATAGGATCATAATAATTACCTCCCAGGGTGGTTTTGTGTACAGTGGTGAGGATAATGTCGATTACTTATTGCACATTTTCTGTTAGCAAGTGGTCAATGAAGTGTATTATGTTTGTTATCATATTATTATTAATATGTGGCGTGAGAGTACTGGGATCAAGGTAGAAGTTCTGTGTTCTATCATGAGTTCTGTTGGAGATGAGAATATTTCACAAGTTGGACGTATTGTGTATGCATCAGCTTTTCTCTTTCAGTTTATTGGTGCTATACTAATATCCTATTTTTATGTTTTTTATCCTAGGATCTAAAGAAGTACCACTTCTACTATTGGTTTTGCTATCCTGCCCTCTGTCTTCCAGAGAGTGTACCTCTCATTGAGGCGCCGGTGGGGTTGGATCAAAGGTTTTCACCAAAACAGGTATCAACAAATGAAACAAAATGTAGGTAAAATTGGGTTTAATGTGCAATAGTTCATTCCAAAGACAAACAGGTACTTCTAGGATGAAGAGGTGGTAACTGCAGAATCCTAAGAGAAGACTTATTTACAAAATGTTTGTAAAGTAATTTTGAAGAAGTAGTGAACACACACACACACACACAAATAGGGGCTGGGTGGTTAGCTCAGTTGATTAGAGTGTGGTGTTGGTAACACCAAGGTCCAGGGTTTGAATCCTTGTACTGGCCAGTTGCCTCCCCACCCCCTGCCCCCCAAAAAAGTAGCAGACAATAATTTTCTAGGTTTTCAGTAGTATTTGCTGAAATACTAAGACAGCAGGGAGGAATTATAGGAACATTTTGAAGGACTGCAAGAATTTACCAAAATGTGGTCTTCACTTTCAGTGTAGGAAAAGGCAATATACTTTGGGGAGAGGGTCTTTGAAACAAAACAGAAGACATTCTCCTACCCTCATACCAAGTTACAGAACTCCCTCAGGAATGGTACATGCAGAGCTAGCTAGTCATTGCCATTTAAGAAGATAATAATGTCATTGGAAATGGTCCCCAGAAGAGCAATTAAAATAATCAGGCTGGCAGAACACAGACACTAAACTAGAAAATTCTGATTGTTGTTAAGGCAAAGATAGAGTGTCAAGATGATTTGAATTCATGAAGCACATCAGTCACCAAAATCCTGAATACTTAAGCCAGGGAGAAGCCATTATTAATTAAAAAAAAAAAAAAAAGTTTATTTTGTACAAGTCCAAGGTTGTGATTTTGTAGAACTAATTTTCCAAGAAGAAATCTAAGTAGGGGAGAAGGATTATGGATGGAGATTGACTGTTTTCAGGTACAGGGTTTCTTTTAGGGAGGACAAAAATGTTCTAAAATTATTGCAGTGAAGGTTGCCCAACCGGATGAACACACTGAAAAAACCAAATTGAATTGTGTACTTTATGTCTTTTTTTTTTT